TGGAGACATTGTCAGACATGGCCCAGTCGCACTCTCAATGGCGCTCGTGCACCCAAGCTATTGCCTTCAATGCATAGCTCCTTTTCCAAGCCCCCCACTTGACAGCCCACTGACAATGCTGGATTTATGCACCAATTTACCAGCTCGCGCCTGCAATGCGCAGCTACTTGCCACCCCCCCCCCAAATCATCGGTGAACGAAACTGCGGTAGCTACAACCACTGTACGACGAGTACGCGGTTATTACAACTAACAATGATGATGATGATGATGATGATGATGATGATGATGATGATGATGATGATGACTTACTGTCAAGTTGTAGACTTTGTGGCAACATTGGTGGCCCATCTGTTGACCACTGTACTTCATGACAGTTTTTGATACCTAGACGGTTGTTTGTATCTTAAGTGCTCCAATTTAACAATTATCGGAACAGGTTGCCACTTCTCTAAACGAGCAGAGCTACTCATCAGACAGTGTTCAACGGGACACAAGCTCTTCCAAACATTTGTTTGGGGAGTAACTGATTATAATCATCGGAGAAAGAGGGAGAGGAAGTATACAAATATTTACTTCACAATTAAATATGCGCTGTGTAAACGGCATGCGATTGATCAACTTGAAACTACTTACGTTCCAGTTAGGAGTTCAAACATCAGGATACCCATGGACCATAAATCAACCGCGAAATCGTGTCCTTTGTTTAGAATAATTTCAGGGGCTACGTATTCCGGTGTGCCACAGAAAGTCCACGTTTTGGAACCAAATCCAATTTTCTTTGCGAAACCAAAGTCCGTCTTGGATACCGTCAGAGTAGGCCGGAAGAATATAAAAAGAAAATGGTCGTGGAATTCAAGGAGAAGGAAGCCCATGTAAAACTAATTAACAGCCTATTGGATTAAGACACGATCAAGGGGTGACAAAGAAATTTGGTTCTGAAAGTTTACATGAACTGAGTTCAGTTGTTCATTACTAGCTACAGTTTTTCCGGTTGTGTGCATCCTGTCTAGAATTAAGCGCGTCGTTCTCCTTTAGTAACCGAATACACTCAATTTTATCTAGCTGGACATGTTTAGCTTACCGTTTTTTAATAACGCGTTCTGCTCTGGTCTGCTTCAGTAGATTCTAACATGAATGAAAGAGCACCCACCAAAATGCTTTTTAATGGGCAGTGACAGGTTGCATCTTTCACTCAGTCATGGTGCGGTGAGAAAATAGTGGCAATGGGTTTGTTAATGCAGCTACAATGACTCGTATTTAAGGAGTCACCTGAATATAACGACATCCTTTTGTGAACGTTTTATCTAGCGCAGAATTCCTGGATCCTCCCCAAGATAATGCTGTGTTCATATGATCCAAGCCCAGTTGTCGATGGTCAGCTTAAAGCATCACTACTACTGAAATTTGTTATAACACGAACAAGACTAGCAATAGCTTGTCTAGTTGTCTAGTCTGGGCTCATGTGATGTACCCTTTAATGGGACTTAGCGTAAATAAAATAGCAAATAATCATTCGAATGTAGCTCCCTTCTGTTGCCACCAGAAGGAAACCTGGGATACTGCCAGGTTACCCAAGCCTAGACAGGGGAAGTTAAGAAGCAGAGGTCGGTCTCGAACTACAAACCTTCCGGTCGGTAAATTTGCGCTCTAACCACTGAGTCATCTTCCCCCAACTTAACACAAATTAACGGTATGAATCGAAGTTGTGAGATCTGAGAAATGGGGTAAACCGATAGACAATTGTTCGAGATTTACTAAGTAGTGGATGGTCAAGACAATGTGCATGAGTCAGCATCAAATTTTTTATATGCCGTTTAGCGAAGTCACTCTGTCTACCGTGAACCAAGTGTGCTCTGTATATACTTCAGATATCTCCAGAGGCTTTCTAGATATTTATATGATTCACTGATGACTAGGGTGAATAGGGACTTTACGAATAAGAAGTCACTTTGACAACACGCACCGGGTGTCAGAAATGCGACCATGTTTCTTCGTAGTCTAGCTGACCCGTAACAACATGAGTAAGCGTAGACTGTCCACGAAATTCGTCTGTGGTGTGATATAAATTGATCTGTCCAGCGTTACACCACTTGTCTGAATTCAGCTCATTTCCGCGCCTCTCAAACCAGAGACGTCAGTTTAAAATTGGTTGGACTAGAAATGGCGCAAGCCTTTTTCTTCTTCCGTGATTCCCACTTATTTTATGTTCCGCGTGTTGCAAGTTTCCATGGTGCGACAAGAATTTACGGTTTGACAAATGGGTTTGGTTGCTCTGTTCAGTTATTAATTACATGCCATTGTTATGAAACGCACATAGGTGATCAAATGAATGGTCAATCTTTCTGTATGGTGTTGTTTTAGTATACTTCCAGTGGTGAAATACTCAAGTCAATCGAGATGAGTGTGTCAGATCCACGAACTCAGTGACCCAAAATCTAGGCACATTTTCAAGCAGGAACGCCCAAATTAGCATTTATGCGGCCAGAATTACCTAAAGTTCAAGAGCTAACCGTAAGGAAGGCAAGATGGTGGATGATTCTACGTCTTCGGAACATCACGTACAACAATCGGATAGGGTTTAACAGAACTGCTTTCCTTAATTTCGATGAACGTTTGGGTGAGTGCTAAAGATGAGATTATTCTCTGTGATTAGATTATTCTCTATAACGCATCCAAAATTTAGAAACGTTTGCTAAAATCTCGATAATCTGGGGCAGAAAATCGCAAATAGTTCCTGTGAAACCCATCTTGATGGTACAACTGTCAAACTTTTTTCCGGGTTTCTACGGAACTATTGTATCGTCATCAACGGAAGAGTAACGTAGGGCTGAAGGTGCTGGATGGTGTCATTTAGGCTCTAGGAAATACACTGATAATTTCAAACTGTCAATAGGTGGTAAAAATTCTCCGACGCCGTCAAACTCAATGCGGTTCGGAAATTTTGACTGTCCACTTGCCTTTCTTAGTTGTTAATCACATACACTGTGTAAGAGAGGTTCATAAGTCGAGAAATCACTGAATGTCCACCTGACAGCTTCTGCTTCGTGCATCTTTTCGAACACCTCTAGTATGACGCATCACGTCAACTATTTTCTGGTCTCGCTTGTTTTCACTATGGTTTGATCCACTCATTTCTCCACGACAGTTTTAACCTGCAAGTGTAGTGCGAAGATGTGTATAACCAGCCTAAATGAGTTGCGTCCTGTTAGCTTCGCCACTCAATCCCTTACGTGTGACCCGACCAAAGAACTCTATCCTTTTCAGAAGGCTATTACACTGTAAATGCTAAGAAATATGTTCCATTTTGCTTTTTTACATCATATTCGGCCTATACGGTATTCCTTTAATATGTAGTGTCGTCATCTGTTTCCCATTTTATTTCTCGGCATCTCTGATTATCACTTAATTCAACACACTATACTATAATTCTAATGGCTCGGATTTTGATTTGGTTGTAACCTCCCTACTTTCCGCTAATATTTTCTACGCAGCAACAGACCACTGAGTGCGGTCACAAGTAAGTTTATTGCCGCAAATAAAAATGGCTCCTTTCTTATAAAATTGTATCTGAAGTCGGTGAATATTCTACGACAGCATACTAACGGATAAGCCCTTTTTGGAGCTCAGCGAGTACAGCTAGTCCCGAATTCCTATTATTCTTATTTAGCAAATGGTCACTACCCTTCAAACTAAGTCGGTGGTGACGAAAGATCTGGGTGAAATCTATTCGTTTGTAATATTCTTCAACCAAGTGGAGTGCACGATGGCCAACTCATGTTCCAGCTGGAACAATATTCGAGATTTTGAGGTGTTTTTCTTGATATCACATTGTTCATAGTATTCATAAAGACTCTGAATAGCGCACTGCGGCTTCGGCAATTTTAAAGTTCACCAGGTAGACATAATCCCTGTATTTCCGTCCATCTTCTTCAGTTTTGATTAGATCTGAGTGGACCAGGCTGGAAACAAACACCCATTCAACGAAAGATTCGTGTGAATTTCTACCGTACCCGAAGATTATCATAGGCGGGAGATTTAGTTGAGTCCCTCGGTTACAGCAACTGGATTTGAAAATGAGTACTTACCTTCATAAAAGAGGCTGTATTTTTGTTAACCATTGGGTGATTTTTGGGACAGATTTAGAAGACAATACACTGGTATTAGCAGACAGATGCTTAGCTTGATGCCAGCAGAGGGAATTTACTGCTGTAAACTTGTTCGCCTACCAGTTTACAATAGCCGATGTTGTCTAATAGCAAGTTTTCTGGTTTCAAGTCTCTGTAGACGATCCCCTTCCAATGTAGATAGGCGATAGCTTCAACAACACAGGCTGTATAGAATCTGGTAGTTCCATCGTCAAAAGCCGATCGATTTCGGAGTATAGTCCATAGTTCACCACCAAGACACGCTTCAAGGAGGAAATACAGGCAAGCGCGATCTTTGAAAGTTCTGTATAATCTGAAATACAGGAAAAAACTTTGGTGTGTCGGACTAGATGTGGGCCATTTGGAGGCTAAATTTAATAAAAACCCCAAGTTATTGATATTTAATCAGTCTGCATAGTTGCATTACAAAACGGCTTTTGGAAACAAGAAAGGTATTTTTACTTGGCACTAGGTGGTCTTTATATACAAGTTGAGCCCATGCGGTTGTAAGATCGTTTGTCGGTCTATGTAAGCCAGCTCTGTGTTTCACAACGTGACGCAATGCTCGGATGCTTTCCTGGCGATCAGACTGGAATCGCACTCATCTTTCAGACTCATACGACTCTTGGAATGCTTTATATCAGCCTTTTTGTTGGTAACCAAAGGCAGCAGCTTCCAACCACCGGCGTTAAGACAATACGTTACTACCAACTTTCTTTAGGCCTCTTTGCTCATATGCTCAACTCGCCTTTTTTAATCAGACTTCTGTTCCGGAAGCATTGATATCGTAATTTGAACACATCAAGATAAACCACATCGTTTACATTGCGACATTTGTTTAGATCCCGTTTTGCGTCAGTCCCACCTAGTCACTTTCTTCCGCGGAACTTTTTCCGGTGTGCTACGCAAACAACAAATAGTAACCTCAATGTTATGACGTCGTCGGGTTTTGAATATCCAACTGTTGCTCAGTACAATCCAGCGTGGTTTAACTATTTGGTTTATTAGCGAACGTCTATCTCTATATACTTGGAAACGGACCACCAAAAGAATACCTATCCAAGATCTAAAAGCATACGACCACGGTGATCATGCAGATTGTTTCCGTTTTCTATAGTGGCTCTCTTCTAATACTTGCGGACCTTTTCCTTGGGAAAATTAACATTGGCAAGCATCAAACAGTTGAAGGGGCCAGTGGTCTGACATGTTTTTGAATGTGAACTCAAGGGGAAGCAACCCGTGAATTGACTTTCCATCCACTTGGGTAACATTGCAGACACACGTAAATAACATATCCGGTGAATCCTTGAGAGTTTCGAAGGATAGAATTTATGCAGTAAGACAGCAATGGTTTCCTGGTCTCACTAGATTCACTCTCCGGATCAGTATTCGTGGATCGTTTGGCTATGCCCATCAATACTGCTTTGCAGTTCAGCTTCAGTTTTGCCTAGACACATATTATTCGTGTTTTGAGGTTCTCAGTTATACCAAACGGCTTTTTTAAACAAACAACTTCCAAAACAATTTCATATCCTGGTTGCTGTCGGTACGGTATTTCTTGTTGTGTTCTGCAGTTCCATTTTCCCGTTGGGAGAAACGGTGTGAGCTTCCTTATGGTGGGCTGAAGTCATCTTCAGAGGTTGCTGCATATTCTGGATTGCTTGTTTGGTGGAATAAGTGTACACTGAAAGGGTCGTCGTAACGGAATGCCACTTATAGAACTGCTCATCCATCAAACCGTTCAGATGTGGTCCTTCAAGGGCTATCAGTGAGCTCTAGTGACAACAAGCTCGCAGTTCAGATTAGTCTATGTTCGAGGAAGCACCATTCCAATACAAGATAACCACGAGTCTATAACCTCCCTGGTGTTGTTCACTGGTCAAAACAGTCAACCTGTAGTGGCCGGAGAGATGTGCAAACATAGCTCCCGTGGATATAACTTTATCAAATCCTCGATTAACCGAAACTGGACGGAGTTTGAGGAAGAAATCTTCCTTACTCGATTAATGTTGCTTTAGGAAGTCTGGGGCACGCATCTTGCAGACTATTGAGGTAGTACTTCTTTAGTCTTTTTGCATATTGCCTTTTCTGAGTGTTTGTTTCAAGCTGGTTGAAATCAGGAAGATTTTTGAATTCCAACTGCACATTCCTCGGAACAGATAAAAGCCAGAACTTCAGGTCGATCTTCCCAACATCAGGTTTGATTTCCCCTTCATTTGTGGAAATGAATCAGCGCGTTCACGTTGTCAAAACAGCATCACTTTTCTGTCTATCTGTCTATCTGTGCAATTTTTCTGTTCAGAGCCATCTACTGCTCATTGGTACGTTGTCCCTCAGTTTCGGTCGCAATCCTTCCTTTTTATATGACTTTAACATTTTCAGTTGATTCGGATAGAAGTGACTCGAATTGAATTCGGTTTTAACACTCGGATTAAGGTTGGCTTTCGTAAAGAAGGGTGTGTCGACAGCTATCTCCTTGGATAATCCGAACCAATTTGAAGAATACTGTGATGATTCCGACAACTCCTCTTTAATGTTGAAACATCTCGAGTAACGTATGATTAGACGATCTGCTATCGGTTCGAGTTGGAATTGAAATTCGGTCAGCCAGACAAGAGGTTCACCTGCCAATTTATCTCAGATGTTTTGACAGTCACAATTCAAAGCTTACTACAGATAAATTTTTACTCAGTATGTCTTCGGGATTAGGGTAACTGTGCAGTTTATACCGCAACGACTGAAACCTGCACTTAATTTATTGTGTTACCAAATTCTAGAACAATGAGAGTGCGATGCCCAATATTTCCCTAGTCAGTTCTTACATTAGAATTGTTGCTACAAACTACGCCATGAGTATGATGGACATTCCCACCATGATGAGTGAAGTTTACGAGATGGAGCCCCACCTTTTCTTCATGCAGGAAAGTCAGAACTGGTTCTGTTTATTTCGACTGGGACCACTTAGTAGGCAGTTGAGATGAATTCCCTGATTCTGCACATCACATACTGTGTGACCACTAACTGATTTAGTGAGCTTCCTTTGGGCTTAATTCAAGGCACGTTGGATAGAAGATGTAAAATGCACATCTCTCTCTGGAATTCATAAATTCTGTAAGTATTTACTAGATGACACACAGAGCGTCCGACCGTATGTGTTGTTAGTTTTCCATAAATGGTGATGCATGGTTCCGAAGCACCAGTAGCTTACCCAGTGGAAATATTCAGGTGAACTTAAATGTTTTGCAAATCACAAGAGAACAGAACATATATGAAACCGAATCGCATTGCTTACTTGACTATAAAGTCGTTTTCCGATTCAAGGAGGATATTTTTCTCATTCAAAACATGTTCTTGTTGGCGGGTCTCGACCACACATTTCTTTCGCAGCTTCTTCAAAGCAAACGATTTCCGACTGTCTCGCTTCAATTTTACCTGTTTGATAGACGAGAGGTTGTAGACACAGTGGGTGAGTGATCGAAGAGCGACAAGTTTACTCTCAAAAGACCCACAAAACGGTGACTATTGATCATTTCGTCCTGCTTAGTGACGATGCATTTGTATTGCATACGCAGCAGAAAAAAGGTTGCATGGAGTTTCTGATGGAGTTCAAGTCTTGGACTGAGCAACTTGTATTCGGTCCTCCGTTAACCTCATTTTTCTGGTGTTTACGCCAACGTCGAACATGCAGTAAAGTTCGCAGAGTGTCAACTGACATCTTCAAGCCGTGGGTGACGCCCCTCATAATCCAGTGGTCTGCTCTAAAGCTTCATCTCGTTTGAGAAAGATTGACCCAATTAATCGTGGTTCTTAGCTCAGCTACATCTATAAGTGGCCACTCTTATCGTTCGGACGACTCCCCTTGCTCTTCCTTTTTTTGTATGCATAGTAAGCTGTCCACGTAATTCAAATAGAGATCAGACAATGTCTGCCGCGAAAATTATCACGTTACTTCGAGGTTGCGAATAAGTGAAACTATGGTAGTTGATCAGGTGGCTGTTGATCTGTTCGCCGAGCTTGGCAATTGACTTGCAAACGTTTCGTCACCATTCGAGGA